GTGTATTTTTGTTGCCTGGCACTACTGTATGAGTTGCCTGAAACTAATGTGCTGTGAGATTTGGCGGGGAATCAATCCAACATTCAGGTGTAGCTTTTTGCGATGTTATGAATTGCCTCACAATACTGTAGGATTTGTCTGATTCATACTACGTGAGTTGCTTCGACCACGTGAGCAGTTTTTTTAGGGGTGGGGGTGGAGGGGGAATGTTTGGAAAAGTTGATTCAATAGTGTAGTTTTTTGTTGCTTGACCTCTCAATTCTTGATTTGTGCTGGAATAAGGAAGCTCACAGATCGATCTGCCTGTTGACCATTTGATGTGTGCGGTCTTGCTGACGTGTCGTGATCCTGGCCGCTCGGTGGCTCCAGTTCTGGATCGTTTCGCCTCTCCTCTCGTTCGCCCGTTTCATCTACAGGTGGGCCGGCGCACGCCGTCGCGGGTGGTTCTCCTCTCTGTGGGTGACCGCTTGGGTGTGAGCGGTTTCTGCGTCGGGGCGAGGGGGCGCGGGGTGGGTGCGCTTCGTCGACGTGCCCGGTTGTCGTTCGTCGGCGGGTACACATTGTGGCCCGCCGGGTAAGCTGCCCGGCTGCGATTCGTTCGCACGGCACCACACTGTTCGACGGCGCGGAGGGTGGTGGGTGGGTGGACTGTCCTATCCCGTGTTGCCGCCTGCCTTTTCTCCTCCCCTCTTCCTTTCATTTCGTTTCGGTGCTCTTTCCTCTTGTCGTCCTGCTTCTGGTCCGCGAGTCGTCGCTAGGGTTGTCCTTTTTCATTGTTCACTGCCTCACCACCATGGGCAGGAGGTTGTGTGCACGACATGGGATCACCATTTTCCACTCCAACATTAGGTGGCAATTCATCATTAACGTCATCGGGCAATTCATTAAGGTCGATCATCCCCTGCTGCATAAATTTGCTCAAAAATTGAAAAAGGCACACAACTTACAAACATTTTTTGGCAAAGTTAACTTGTTGTAGTGTCAAATAAAGGATAATCCACATAATAGCGGCAGGGGAAGCAATCAGTGAACAAAAGAATGAAAGAAATCCAGTCACATGAAACAACAATTTTTTTGTTTTCTTTTTCCATAGATTCATTCATCAATCAATATAGTTTTCTTGTTCCAAGCTATAAATCTACATAGTCTATAACATCATGGTTTTCTTTTTTACATTTTGCAGGATACAAATCAGAGTCAGAAAAGAGCAGTTGCAAATGATGTGATGCAGACTTTTTTGTTCTGAATTTGGAGG